GATAATCAAAATATTACGCCTAATGAATTGGCTAATGGTCAAGCTTGTATTTGTTTGTGAATAACTGAACTTGCGTAGGATTCAGGGTTAAAAACAACGAGATATTATTATTTAGATGACGTTTATTTACAAACGTATGAAAATAATAATTGTATCAAGATAATTAGACATCTACGTATTAAAGAAAATCGGTGTTAAAAATTAATTAATGTATCTCGTTTATTAGGGATGTGTAATTGAAATTATCAATGAGATGTAATATAAATCGTACAAGTTAGTTGACTAATGCAAACTTATAAGGATACTGAAGAAATTAATACCGGTTTCCGTCTCACTAAACATCGGTAAATCATTCCTAATTTATAAATCTCCACTTATTATAGTGATTTATAAATTAAAATAATAATCGTTTTAAAGTTGACGACACTTTTATTGCCCCACACTAAATGAATGACAACTGACATTTCCCTTAACCGTAACCTATAAAAATAATAGTGATTAAAATAAAAAAGGTTTTTTGAGTTCATTCTCCGGAAGATTCGTTTAAAATGTCCATAAAAAGTGGACTCCTGGTATTTGTTATATATTAGTCGTATAATTCTTGTTTGTCGGCTTAAAGATATTACTTTGTTTGCATTTGAGTTACCGGGAACGAAATATAACTTAGTTAACACTAAATTCCATAAAGTTATGACAGTTGCTTCTGAGTATTGCAATATACATTCTCTTCATGGGAAGCAAGTTATTGTTTTTATGTGTTTAAATATAAAATTTACATAGTATTTTTAGTGTTTGTTCAAAAATATTCGAATATTAATCTGTGTAATGTTATGGGATTACTCTATGTAATGCATTAATCTATGTAATGCGATGTTATTACTCTATGTAATGCATTAATCTATGTTATGCGATCGATTCAGACCATAAATTCAAAATTATTCTAAAAAAAATATATGAACAATGGCTTATGTAAACCCGTCCTTAACCCGTCTCGTGTAGTTGACCTGAATTTCACAATTGTTTCGTTGACATTCTTGTCTTTTGGTCTAAAATATATACTTTTTGTAGCGATTGCACCTCGTATTCTATAAATTCTGGATTATTCCATCCGTTAAAAAGCATCATTGTCGTTTTAAATTGTTTGCATACACAATAATAATTTAACATTTTTAATATATTCCGACGTAATATAAAACGTACCGACGAAAACGTGTAAAACTGGTCTCCGGCTGGCTAAAGTTTCGTCTGAAAAAAAAGAAGCTCAATTCTGGTGAATCGTAAGCGTTACTTCCTTTTCTTATGTTTAAAATTCATGAGATCCGTCTCAAGGTATTGCATCTCATACTTCAAAGTGAAATAAAAATGCTTTGAAAATTTTTGTGATGGTTTTTTAAAGACGACAATTATTTAGGTCATGGACTATTGCTATCATTTGCAATGATAAAAGTAATTTTGATTATTTCTACGATTAGTAATTACTTTTGTTAGGAAGTAAAACGTTTTATTTTCTGTATACTATATGCTTAGGAATTTTTTACCTAAGATTTCAAAGTGATTGTGATTTAGCGTTATCTGTTTACGAAATTCCCTTCCAAATTTGAAATTAAAAGATACCTGTGCAATTATGGAAGGTGTTCTTTTTATCATATCACGTTAATAATGTTTATTTTGAAGCGGATTTTTTTTTTTCGGTTGCCATCCTTCATGTTCTTATCAAATGTCTCCAATAATATTATGGTTGTTATCTTTAGACTATATTTAATACAAATAATATTTTGTAAGATAACGTGTCGTGACATTTATTGTGGTATTAATTGGTTGCTAATAAACTACATACGGCCTTTACCTTTAAGAAAATGCAATCTAAAAAAAAATTGTGTCAACTCAACTGTCAGACGTGATTGTCAATCGTTTGTATTTTGCTTACTCGAATTCTTACATTATTGAAATATTTGATTTTTATCTACATCATAACTGTTTAAATATTATAAATTACGTAACATTTTGTTATAAATGCGTGAATTTTTCGTCATATTGACCGCGTGACTGTATGCCGTTCCGTTCCAAAAGCCGCTCGATTTCGCGCCACAAGTTCCGGACTCGCCGATTGGTCGGTCGACATGGCGTGATGTTTGGCGGGTGGGTGTGTTTGTTGAGTTGAGTATGATATCGGCTTGAGTCGACGCGACGGTGCTGCCAACGCTTTGCCGGCTCTGTCACGTTTTTAAAGCAAATGACGTAAACATCGCAGTGTCATGCCACCGCGTCTGACGTTCGGTTTATGAAGGTCGAATATCTAGTAATCAAAACCGAGTCGAGTCATCTGAAATGTTGCGGATATCTATATTTAGTATTAACTTTTTTTGATGACCTCTCCTATCTAGACGAAACCTCAAGGTTAGACTATAGAAAAAAACAGGTCAATGCTAATTGCCGTCAAGTTGAAGATTTGAAAGATTGCATTCTAAAAAAAATATTTTACCCCAAAAAGCTAGTACGCATACAAAGTAAGCTTTTATTACATTTATTTTACCGCTTTCTAGTTATTAGTTAAACTGCCTTGTAGTTACAAAAATATACGCATTCTAATAATAGCAGTAAAATGAGGAACATTTTAAAACGAAGAATGCAATAGTACATTTTTTTTTATAAACTTTACAAGCGGTTTACATCATTATGGAACACGTAGCGATTAGATCCGACATTTTTACCGTTTCGTTAAACGACGCGTACTAACTAAAAGTGTATAATGAACAGCGATAAAAGCTTGCACTTAGGTATCATAAATCCAATCAACAATTTCATCGCCAGCCGACTTTCTATCAGCACTTTGGTCGTCAGTGAATGTACTAACAGTTTTTCACTTTCACAACGTGTATGGCAAAAAGCATTTTCCATGAGTGTTAAAGTGTTCACTATAATATGTATTTATATTAAATATCATAAAAAAAGTAAAGAACTTGACGTTTCCTGTTTTGCAATCATAAAAATAATGTCCTTGGTCAAGCAATTAAGTTATTAAAAAGGTTGTTGTATGGAGTTTTTATATCATACTAGTAATGACAGGACAATGTGTTTCTTACTTAAACTTATTTATATTTCAAGGCCTCTACAGAACATATGTATGAAGTATCAACCTACCCTTTAGAATCTTCTATTTATAAATTTATTTTTTCAAAACGACTGTTAGTTCTCGAGAATAATAAGTTTATATAAATGCTTTAAATTCAAATAATAACATTAGATATATGATATGAGTATAAATGTAAAGCATCAATTTGTTTATGTCCTATTCGTTTTCCTCTTTTAAATCCCTATTCCGTTATAAATTTACAAAACAACAATGTGTATTTATACTAATTTGTTCGTAGTGATGTGACATTTTTAAAATAACCAATTTAATGTATCGATTCGGGCTTTTGTTGATTCATTATCCCTGAGGGTGATAAAAAAATGTTATGTGAGGGTCCCGACGGTGGCCAAACAAAGGAGAGGCTATAATAATAGGGATGATTTATGGACACGTCCAAATAATACTATCATTTTATTATGCTTTTTATTCATATAAATCTTTCGTTATTTGTATTGGGCAATATTTGCACCTGGAGCGTTGTTGGTTAGTATAATATTTGTACGGCTTAAAGTTAGTTTTATAACTTAATCCCTGTTATCGGTCGGTAACTTACTTACTTATCTTTAATCACACTGCAAACCCCGCACGTACGCTCCGCGAACATATTATTATGTCCCATTAAGTTGTTTGTATATTATTATAATTATTACTATTCCTGATGTTTATTACGTAATTATTAACTCTTGAGATTGATGATACTGATGATTTATATCTTAATTTTGATGTTGGAATAAAACTATTTTATGATATTGATAGACTATTCATGAAATTTTGCGAAGAAAAAGTAACCGTTTTTTTCACTGCAAGTTTTTAAAGTATTCTTATATACGAGTATATTCTAATTTTGAAGATTTGTCAGTGTTACTGCATTCGAAAACTGAAGTTTCTCATTCCTAAATCTTCGTAAATTATACTATTACCGTAGTTAATGAGAAACGGGAATCGCTACGTATGTAGTGATTAATATACAAAACTAAATCTCGTCTGAGCTCTAAATGGAATAAGATATATAATATTGACGTACAAAAAAATATCTAATCTTATTTCAAGAACTGTCATAATTTTTACCTGATTTTTAGATTGAAATTACCTACCAATCGTTTGTGAGAATAAAACGCTCACGTATCCAAGGTTAATGTAAAGGTTACAGCTTAAACAATATTTTTTTTAAAGCCGTTGATTATATTTTTAAACAATTATATTTTCAATGTTATTATTGATTTGAGTTTAAAACATTTTAGTAACAGTGTTATGTGATATTGGTTATGACCACAAAGGTATTTCTTAAAGTGAAGCCATGTGTCGAGTTTCGACTGTTTTTAGAGATACCACATTTCATTATGTTAGGCTTAATATGTAACTCGTGGTTAGTAAGTAGCATTTCTATAGGACTAGTTTATGCCTGCCGCTCCGTCTGCGTGTTTAGGAATTATTTCCTGAGAGGAATGAATAAGTACTACATATCAAATGTCTTAACTACATTACTTTAAAATCTTAACATAAGTTCATACTTTCGCATTTAAATTACTAGTAGGAAGTATGTAGTTTTGTTTTTGTTGTTCCCATATTAATTATTTTTAATTTTTTAATCAACCTTGCAAATCGTTTCGTTTTTTTTGTGTAACCATATTTTTAATACATCCGTATTCCTATCGAATTATAGAGATAAAATATGTATTTTTGTACCTATTTTTAAATAATATGACCGAATTAAGATAACTTATTGAGTTGCCAAAAAAAATGCATTAAAACTGAAAGGAGAATTGTACTATTTGCTGCATTAATTAGATTATTTGTTATAATTATTATATTAAAACGTTTTCCAACTATTATAAACTATATTTTATATGTATATGTTCTGTTTCAGGTGTATTAGGGGATGTCAAAAATGAATTCAACATTGGTGATGATTACGCCGGCTTCCTTCAGACCGTGTTTGTGGTCGCGTACATGGTTTTCGCGCCAATATTCGGTTATTTGGGTGACAGATACTCAAGGAGGAAAATCATGGCATTCGGTGTGGCCCTGTGGAGTCTCACCACTTTCGTAGGGTCATATATACCTGTGAGTATATAGATTTTAATCAATTTAATATATATTTTTAAGCCATATTATATTTGTATACTGAGAAGTTTTATAAACATAGACAAACTTTTTGGTTGGTATGGCATTTTTTTTTAATTTATCAGATTTGATTTTTTAACCGTATTATACTACGAACCTATCAGATACAGACTTTCCTATAAATCAATAATATTATATTTTTTTTGTTTCACAGTATATGTATTTATATGTTTTATGTAATTCTCTTAATAGTTATACGTGTTGTTCTACATTTTTCATAAAAAAATAGACTAAACATTTAGTACATTTTGCTATATTCATAAGTCATAACAAATTGTCTTACTTCTAAAAGTCTTGTAGGTTTTTACCAAAGCAAGTAAAGATAAATCTTGTAATGTTTCCGTGTGGTCATTATAGAACCGTTGTAATGTATTACGTGCTCTAAGACTAATGTTGTTTGCAGGATTTCGCCTGGTTCGCGGTATTTCGCGGCCTGGTCGGTATAGGTGAGGCGTCATACTCAACCATCGCACCGACCATTATCAGTGACCTATTCGTCGGTAACGTCCGATCGAAAATGCTTGCGTTTTTCTATTTCGCTATACCAGTCGGAAGGTAAGATTATAGTGGTTATATATTGTTATTTTTACTTATTACTAGCTGTGGATTTCCGGGGTTTAAAGTAGCCTATGTGTTATTCCTGGACGTCAGCTTCCTGTATACAAAATTTTATCAAAATCGCTTCAGCCGTTTGAGCGTGACGAAGCAACAAACATACACACACACTCACAAACTTTCGCAACTATAATATTAGTAGGATAAGCAGTATTTTAAATCGAATCTTAGTTTGACTAACTCGATGAATTTGACGATAATACTTTACATAAATTATAATTTGCTTGAAACCGTAATATGAATGCTAATTAGGATAATATAATGATATGGAATTTCAAGGTAGTGTAACAATAGTAATGTAGAAAGTATGTAACAGAGTAACTGAACCCGGCCGTCGTTTCGCTTCAACGGCCTTCACTCGTGTACATAAGTCTAAAATTCAAGCTACATAAGTTATTATACTAGATAGTGTTTTCAGCTCTGTCTGTGTAGTGTTTGCTAAGTTCAATACAAGAAAATGTCTTTAAAGATCCTATACAACTTGATGCAGAATATGATTGTATTTCAAACAACGTTAGGACGGAAAAGAATTTTAAAAAGATACGTAATAGTGACGTTACTTTAAAAAATATATTTTTTAAACAAGAACTGTTTTAGATCTTGCTTAGGTTATAAATGATAGGATATAATTGGTTGTAAAAATATAAGATGTTAAAGGCATTCAAAATGCATAAGTAAATAAAACCACTTAAATATTATTTAAAAAATCGGTTAGAAGTTTTTTCATGACGTCCCATCTGTAAACGCTCGACGTAAAGTCATTAAACTGGCAACATTGTAATATTTACTTTATGTAAGATTTCTATTTATTTTAGATATAAGGCTTTTTAACTGGTAACACTGACAGACGTAACACGCATATAATTTAATAATTAATTCAATGTAATTTGAATATTACAGTTTTGGTTTAAAATCTATACTAATATTATAAAGCTGAAGAGTTTGTTTGTTTGTTTGAAAGCGCTAATCTCCGAAACTACTGGTTTGAATTGAATAATTATTTTTGTGTTGGATAGTCCATTTATCCGGGAAGGCTGTGGGCTATATAACATCACCCTACGACCAATAGGAGCAAAGATATAGTGGTAAATGTGTAAAAAACGGGAGAAATTATTTCATCTTTGAAGCCTTCCGTTGCGGGCGCCATGAAAACGGTTCAAGATACACAAAAAAATGTATTAAAGAATAATAGCTCTTTTAATGATTTAAAAAACAGTCCGCGATAGTATATGTCTATCTTTTAAGATTAACTCACAATAACCGTTTTCATGGTACCTAATTTGGTCGAAATAATTTGTTTAAGTTGTATCAACATAATAATATTAATCTTTATTCAAATAAACAAATAAATATGTTATTGGTTAAGAGTACTCCATTGTGAATAAGAAAAAAACATAGGTTTTATCCTAAAAATTCTACGGGAACTCGACCATTCCGAAAACCCCGCAAGAACGGGAACTATGTGGGAAGAACCAAAAATCTGCCGGAAATAACTATTCCACGCGGACGAAGTCGCTTCAAAAGCTAGTTAATAATATGCAAGGGAATAAACCGCGGCCTTTAATAAACATTATAGCTCCAATTATAAATAATGATTGCCAATCGAAAGATAGTTCACACATTAATCGGCGTAATGTATGTTTATTGATCATAATTGCAAAACATGTACTTAATCTGACTCGGTAACAGAATAATTATAATTTATAAGTATACTGTTTTTATATTTATATAGTTATTTACGAAATAATAAAAATAATTTATACGTGTTTAAACTTTTGTTGGCGGTTGAATGAACTGTAAGTTAACTTTCTAGTTAACTTTTAAGTAAATGTACAAAAAGAATTTAAAAACATCGATATTTTTAAATATGCTCGATTATTATTAGATTATAATTTTTTTTAAGCAGATTTTACCCTTGATAGATTTCCTTTTTCGCCTTGATCTAAGATTTTTGTATAGAATCAAGTGAAATTGACTAACAATGATCAACAAGCTTGGTTGCTCAGAAACTATTGCATATTTATATGTATCCTTTATCGGTATTGAAAACCTAAATGAACATGTTCAACAATATATTTTGCTTGTAAATTGAAACCGGTAAATGTGCCATGGAAAACCCATGACGTGATTTCCATCACAAAGGAATATTTATAAACAGTTTCTAACTTTAATAACATATGTTAATATAGGAATATTAAAGGAATATGCATTTGGATGTTATTTTTTCGTACAAATATTTTTTTTTTGTATACGGTCAGAAATTTTTACGTATTTTTTTTAACAAATCGTTTGTTTTTAATTTCCAGTGGTTTCGGCTATATAGTTGGTTCAGCGGCCGGTGCAGCTATGGGTAATTGGCGTTACGGGTTGCGTGTAACCCCTTTCCTTGGAGCTATAGCCGTGGTTCTCATGCTGTGGGTTATGGAGAACCCCGAACGAGGTCAGGCCGAGGAGAGTCGGATGAAACCCACGTCATATAAGGAGGACCTCAGCTCGCTCGTCAGGAAGTTAGTAGCGTTTAATTTACTATTTTGACAGCTGTCAGATGAGCTCGTCGTTTTGACAGATCTCAGATGAAGTCATCGTTTTGACAGCTGTCAGTTGAACTCATCGTTTTGACAGCTGTCAGTTGAAGTCATCATGTTGACAGTTATCATACAGTTGCCGACCTTTAATATGACTGAAATCAAATTCACTATGACGTTTATTTTCATATAGCATTTAAATATTTTTTTCTTATACTATATGTACCTACTTAAAACGATTATTTTATAATTAAACACTTTATAATTTTCCAGTGATTAACTTATATGTGGTTAATGATATATTATGAAGACGGATAGCTATATGTAAAAATATAAGTGTATTTTATTTTGTATGCTGTTTCTTCTATTTTGAATCTTATTTATTAAGTGTCGAAGGTGTATAATCAATCAACAGAATTATTCTCAAGCAAGGTATAATTTGATGCTATTAAAATTGATGTGTCACTAATTATAGACATATCTTGGTCAATGAACACGCTTTAGTCATTCCTTATTCGTAATGTACTTAATTAACCAATTCAAATCTCAATTCATATATTTGGAGCCAATTTCTTTAACGATCCCACGAAATATCAGTCAAGATTGCTATGATAAGCAAAGCGTCATATTTTAACTCAGTACTTGAAGAATTACGTCTTTAAAACACTATAACATAATTTTAGATTATTTCTCTTAATTATGTCTTGTTATAGAAAAATTCTATAAAATTATTATCTAAAATTATATTTCTTTTCCGCTCATTCTGATATTTGTTATTTATAAAATTTTGCCGCTATAAAATATTTTTGTATATCAATTAATGTAGTGTAAGTCAAAAACATGACCATTTAAATACCCTAAGACATAAAAATAAGAAAATATTATTTTTTCGGATACTGATTCATAAAAATCAAGTTATATTTAATATTTAATACTATGGTTCAAATATCTTACAGTCCATCGTTCATGTTGTCGACACTGGCGTTCACGTGCGTGGCGTTTGTGACGGGCGCGCTCGCCTGGTGGGGCCCGGACTTCATCAGGCTAGGGCTGACGCTGCAGACTGGGAAGGAAGTCCCCATAGAAGGGTGAGTCATCACAATACTAACAGTATTTATGATATTTGTGACAACCCTGAATAATAAAATTTTTGACAGCCCTGAAAATTAAAAAAAAATTGTCCCATCAAAATCCTAGCAGTGTTTGGGATACTAGTGATAACCCTGAGGCATTAAATTTTTGGCAGCCCTTAAAAATTGGTCCATTGCTAATATTAATCAATAATACGTAATTGTAAAGTTTGTTGTATGTTTGTTATTTCGATGAATAGCTAACTTATATATCGGATAAATGCTTTCAAAATTTGAGTATCGTGGTTGGGTAGTCAGTGTTTAGTTACAGTGGGCCTATAAATGACGTCACTATAAACTCAGCCATATTTAAATAATATACATAAATATTGTCCTTTCTGCAACCATGTATAGGAAAATCATAATATATTCCCGAAATGATAAAATCGTCATTGTGATTTTTAAAGTAATTTGATCCATATTCTTTTACACTAATAATAATGTCTGTGCTAAATCTATAACACTCCAACATTTTATTAATAAATCACTCGTATAAAGTTTTGGCGGGCAACACTACAAATATTCAATTAATATACAATGTTTGTTTAGTATAAAGAGAACAAAAAACAATCACCTTTTACCGTCAATCAATTGTTTTTTTTAATCAAAAATAATGTTACTTAATGAGACACGCTATAAATTCATTCAACAAGTGGAAACACAAAATATTTTAAAATATAGAGACATTAAATCATATAACCAAGTAGCCTTTTTGTACATTCCAATTTATTATTATTTTTTCTTTCCGTGTAAAATTTACTATTTGTGGTGTACAATAAAGTATATTCTATCTTTCTATCTATCTATATACTAAGAACTTGGAAAATATATCTCATACGTACAATTTAAAGTATATTCCCGTTAAAACAAGCATTATAGTTTTTTTAAATATAAAATTTACAATAGTAGGTACTATACGTACAAGGGTGTTTCTATAAGAACAGATAACAAATATATTTAATATTTAACCTGATGGATGTTAAATGATGAGTAAAACCACGTGTTGTGGCTAGTAAAGCATTAGTCTTTCTTTTTATATAAAATTTACAATAGTACTGTACGTACATGAGTATGTTTCTATAAGAACAGATAACAAATATATTTAATATATAACTGATCGAAACCGCGTGTTGTGGCTAGTATGATTGTTAAGTTCCTAAATGTCGGTGCGCGCGTGTAGCGTATCCTTCAAGTTCGGGCTGGTGGGTATGGCGGCGGGGGCGCTGGGCGTCCCGCTGGGGTCCCTGCTGGCCCAGCGTATAAGGAGCCTGACCCCCGCCGGCGACCCTCTGCTCTGCGGGTTCTCGCTGCTGGTGTCCTCGCCGCTGGTGTACCTCGCGCTGTTCTCCTCCGCCCACGTGGCCGGCCCCAGCTACCTGCTCGTGTTCCTCGGCATGCTAACACTCAACCTCACCTGGTCCGTCGTAGCGGACATCGTGCTGGTGAGCATCGGAACTGTATTCCGATGAGATAGGACGCACGCCCTCAACACTGTGACGATTCATCCATCCCTAAACCCTCCGACCCATACTAATATAAGCATGTGGCGCTTACTAGCATAGATATAGATAAGTTTAAGTAGTGGTAAGCTGACCGTGGGTGTATGAAGGGTGTCGCTGGTGTTCGGCGCGCTGACCATGATGTCGGGGCTGGTGGGCGTGCCGCTTGGCGCGTGGCTCGGCGCGGCGCTCATCACCCGCTGGGGCCGCGCCCACGCCCTGCTGTGTGCCGCGGGGCTGCTGCTGTCCGCGCCCGCCATGACGCTCGCCATCTTCCTCACGGACAAGCACTACTACGCTCCATTCGCGCTCATGTTCTTTGCCGAGCTAACGCTCAATCTCAACTGGGCTATCGTTGCTGATATGTCGCTGGTAAGAACGGGATCCGGTTACGGTTTTATTATTGTATTTAGTTCGCTTACGTTTATTTGACGGTAAGATAATTTGTGCTTAGAGTTTAAAATTGGATAATTATGTGGTTAGTGAAATAATACATAACGTAGACCAAGTATTAGTCTCAATGTTGTATAGTTGTTAATTATAATTTTAATGCATGAATCTGCATGTGATATTATTAATATTTACCTAAGCAGAGGTAGCCATAAAAATAAAAAAAGAATTGTCATGAAGAAAAGACTTCAGATAACCTTAATGACAGTTAAACTTGTATATCTGCTTAAGTAAAATATATCATTTATGAAATACAATCATTTCCTTTGCTTCCGTCGCTTAACATAGCATGCCATTGAAATCAGTCACTCATGAATTCATATCGTTATGTTGTTGAGGGATGTGAAAGCACCGTTTATCAAGTGCGACCTTTCTCATTGGAATACTAATCATTTTAATCGACATGTACGTGCTGATTTCAATTTTGTTTACTAGCGACATCTATTGAGCATTGCAAAAACTTTGTAGTTATCTTGACTCATACATTGGTATGTAATAACAAATTAATGGCGATTTTCACAGATGGCGCTGGTATTAATTTTGTGCGCTTTACTTGTTTTGCTTAAAATCTTAAACATTTTTAGTTTTTACAATAGAAATAAACATAATAATAAAGTAAATATTATAACATTAACGTATTTGAGTCTGTAGTTTTATGAATTGTAAATTAATTATTCAATTAATATTTTTGTTATATAATTAATAAGGTATAATAATTTCAGTATGTGGTGATACCACCAAGAAGATCAACTGCAGAGGCGTTCCAGATTTTGATCTCACATATGTTTGGTGATGCTGGCAGTCCCTATTTGGTTGGAGTTGTGAGTATTTCTTCATATCTTTAGCGAGTTGTATATAAATGCTTCAACAAACAAAACTTAAATAAATTAATTTTTAGATATCGGAGAACTTGAAGAGATCACTTTCACCTTTCGAACAACCTAGCAACAGTGTCAGATTTAGATCGCTTCAGTACGCCCTGTTTGTTACATGTTTCGTAGAGGTTATTGGAGGAATTTTCTTCCTACTGACGGCTATTTACATTGTGAGAGATAAACTTAGAGTTGAACGAGAAATTGCAGGTTTGTAAACTGCAGAATTTTTCTGTTAATGTAGCCCCATATAAATTCTATATGTATTCTTATATCCATGTTCATTTTTAATACTTATTTTAAACCGAAGCTTTGTATAACGCAGAAATTATGTGTAGTAGGTAAATTGTTTTTGTAACACCGTTTGCTTACTTTAACTTCACATTGTTTCAGTTGCTTCAAAAAATTTTTAGACTTGCTGTATATAGGTAAAGTAGATGAGGCTAAAAATGATTGCTATTATAACTATGCACTGGCTTTTATGATTCATGTATGGGGCTCTGCTAAAACTATATTTCTTATAAGTTACAACCATATATTTTATTACCATAGTAATTTACTTTATATTACAGAAGCCGATGCACAAAGTGCTGAACCGTCTCACAGCAACGCACAAGAAAATCCCAGCGGTGTATAATATTGATATTAACACTTATCAGTCACAACAGATCTTTGGTTATGGTGAAAAGAGAATTACAATCACATTGTACCAATTGTTCCTTGCAACATTTATATTCATAATACAATTGTGACCATTTGATTGTTAATTTGAAGGTAAAGACTGAATGTAGGGCAAAGCTTGTGGGTATGCGAGTGAGATAGTAATAATTAATTTAGGTCATGGCATCACAGCACCTACTGGTTAGGGATTAAGATATGATGTGCCTAACAGATTTTCCTGATAGAAATGCATTATGGTCCTTATTTATTCATAAAATCCATCTAATCTTGTATTCACAGAACTATCATTATTTAATCTTGCTATTGAAATCTTTCTACCAGCTAATTCTATCTTCTATATTGCTTTTGACTGTAGCAAAATAAAGTACAATGATATACTTGCATCTCTTTTTGTGAATACAAACTTGGAATTTAAGGCTTTGAGCAGAAATCATTTAGTTGAGTACACATCATCTCCTATATTTATTTTGTTACATTATATAAATTACCTCAAGCACTTGTTACACAAGAAGTTTTTTTTTATTTATTCTTTTACGAAACATTTATAAATTTTGTATAATTTATTTGAGCTTTAATATTAATGCAATTTTTGAATGGAAAGTTACTTAAATGAATTTTGGGAATTATCTGTAATAGATATATTCATACAGTTTAATAAATATACTTGCCTTAGAATCCATATTAAATGATCATTAGTTTATTTATTAGTATAATTCATAAAGTATTTATGAAATCATACCTCTAGTAGCTGTCAATTATAATTAATAGATAAGGTTTTATAATTTGCAAGTTAAACTGTATAGAATATTAATCAAGACTGAATTGTTTGTTTAAAAAAAAATTAAAGCCTAATAATAATTGTTTGTAAATATCATGTAAAGTATGGAATTGAAAATAAATATGTAATTTATTTTTCATAACTGAATATTTTTATTAAACAACAAACAATCCTGCTGTTATATCACATTGCAAAAGGAGAAACATGATAAAAATGTGAGACTATCGGTGGGTTCCTATAGAACATATTACATATAATACTCCTTTGTCAGTAAAATTACTTATCACACAATGTTGAGAACATTAATTGGTTCCTTAAGTCTAAATATCTTATTGAATCAGTCAATTACATTAAAAAAAATGCAGTCATGAATCAAGAATGCACCATAGTATCATCATAAATTTCAATTAAAATTAAAAAAAAAATAATCACTTATAACACGAATAAAAAATCATTTAAAACAACAATCATTCATAAGAAATTATATAACACCTATTAGTTTTGCTTATAAATCAATAAACAACAGTGTTATATTGTAATAGAAAACGAGAATTCTGATAACATTAAAAAAATAATAACATATCACTCTTCGCAGACACAGCTATTTGTTGAACTTGAGTTATCGTTCATGGTAACTTCAGGATATATGGCTACCCTAAGTTTCTTAGGTATTGGTTCACATGTATTAAAACTATCGTTGTGGCTTCTCTTACCACTTGCGGTTACTTTCAACACGGTCATATTGTCAGCATTATTATTTTCCTCGTCAGAATTAGATAATGTCATTGCATTGAATTTACTTTGAGACATCAATCTCTCTATCCTTATAATAATATCGTCATCCTGAAAAAATAGTGTTTCTTTTCAATGAAACTATATCAAATAATTTGTTTACACTATAATATCTTATGATAAAAATGCTATTAAGATTATGATTTTAATAAATTATATAACATACTTGCATCCAGTTATGATTAAGTATTTGATCCAAAGTAATCCGTCTTTCCACATTTACAGTGAGCATCCTTTTCATGAGTAACTTGCCTTGCAAGCTCACACCTCTCCAATGTGTGTGTGAAAAACGATATTTCCCACTCAAGATTTGGTCCCGGAGAGATAACTCTTTATAATCAGATGAAAACGGTAGATAGCCTACCAAACTAGAATTGACAAAAATATTTATTTTTGAAGAGAATAGATGGCAAAAGAATAAAATCACTCCATATAACATTTAAGATTTCACAAAGTAATTTACACTTCAAGTAATTGTGTTAAAGATATTTTATTGCAATAGAATTAGTGGGTAAAAGGAATATCTGCCCCAATATACATTGGATAAACTTATATGATATATGATACTATATATTTAGTTTCTTATCTATTGCATATATTTAGTTATGCTTTGTAATTAAAAATATAGTTATAAATCTCACCAAACAAAGAAGATGACTCCCAAGCTCCATACATCAACCTCGGGTCCATAACTGTTATGTCCATTAGCCCGCAGTACTTCTGGTGCCAGGTATAAAGGTGTACCACACATGGTCTTCATGAAACTATCTTCACCGACAAACTTGCTCAGACCAAAATCTGTTATTTTGACTAGGGTTTCTTCTTCTTTACTCTCCAATAAAACATTCTCAGGCTGTAATGAATTAAAAGAAAAATAAGTAATCATATATAACCTCTATATTTTCCCAAAGAGGCAGTATCAGGCAGGCGGTCGGTCATAAAAACGAGTAGCCAAAACTATTTACAACATCTAAGGCAGACCCTAGCTAAAGCTGGGAAATTGCCAGGTAGAAGAACCTCCATAGTAATACTTTTTTTGACTTTCATATATAGGTAGGCATTATATAATATTCTAAATGTAACTTTTGTTGATAAATTCATATATTCTGATTCATTGAGACATAGTTATCTTTTACCAAAAACTTTCACTGAAGTACTTATAATAATTAGAACATATGTTTTTTAATTAATGCCAATTTAATTATTGCAATTGACATTAATATCAACATACAGAAACTTTAGACACAGGAACAAACACCATGTAACTTGATATTCATCTTTACATAAAATAAACAATGATTGTGTTGTAACTTCCAAACTTGCAAGATAAGTACTTTATAAGCAAAATATTACTCTAATACTGGGAATGGATAAATTTTAATATAATAGGAAATAATTAAGATTGAAAATAATTCTTTAATGTAAGTATTAGTTACCTTAAGGTCTCTGTGAGTGATGCCTTGAGAGTGTAGATATTTGACCGCTAGAACCATTTGTCGGAACAGAAATCGTGTTAATCTTTCAGATAAACGTCCCTGTTTTGAAATTCTATCAAACAATTCACCTCCCTGCATCAGTTCCAATACAATGTACACTGCATCGGATGACTCAAACACTTCCTCGGTGGAAATTATAAATGGCTACAAAACATTATAATTTTATTAATAAAAAAATATATATTAATATTCATTAAATAAATTTACAATATATTTAAAATAATTACATGTTTCAAAGCCTTCAATATGTTAACCTCATTCATAATCTTGGCTGGATCATTCAAATTATGTATTTGTCCGTTTGTCAGTCTGCTCTTCTTTATAACTTTCATGGCATGTTTTGTACATTTAGTCTAAAAGGAAATACTTTTTTAAGTAGTGAAAGCAAATAAATATTTTATGTAGTAAGTAAAGGAACATACTTTGTGGTATACTAATTTAACAACCCCACATGCCCCTTGTCCGAGTACTCTTGATATATAGAATTTTTCAGATATTTCTTTCGGTGCTTTATCCTGTTCGTTTTTCAGCAGATCTTTAAAGAGGAATACTGAAAATTAAAAGATATTTATAGAAACAGTATGTTAGATAGTTATAAAAGTTATAATGCTTATTTACTTTTAACAACAGCATTGGAAAGTGAGATTTCATCGTTGTCATCTAGAACTCGGCTTTTTCCTTTTCCGATTTTCACACCATTCACAAATGTCCCATTGTGAGACAAGTCGGTAATAATGGCCGGGCTGAGTGGTTCACTGAAAAGAAACGGTGCATATGATATATACTAATAAAATATTATAAATATCTCAAAACATATTCTGTATCTACTCACCTCATGTCCCTTTTGATCACAAAGTGTCGTTTGCTTACATTTTTAATAATACTTTCTTTAATTTTATCTTTTTTTATTACAAAACTGCAATCTATAGCTCTTCCAAGTGAAAATTCAGGTTGAATTAGGTCTTAAAAAATAATATATTGATATTAAAGTACAAGGAATATTAAATAATATAAAAGAAATCTTTTTATTATCGTGCAGTGGGTAGTTTAAAATGAATATAAAAATCAATATTAGCACATAAATCTTTTTATTTACACTTAAAAGATAGGCTTACCATAATATTCTGGAATTTGCTGTTCAGTCTCGGTCTTCCAACAATATCTACCACTCAAAGACACTTTCGTGGAATATAATCTTCCCCAAATATTAGGAATAAAAGATGGAGTATTTGTTTGAGTCCACTCGACTTGAGAATTTTGTGTCTGAGTTTGCGTATTTTCAATATCATGTGATTCGTCTCCCATCTTAAATAAATACACAAATTTTAAAAACTTATAAAAAGTTACATACGGTTAAAAACTTTTGATTTAAGCGGCTAAGTTGAAGGCTTCTTGTAATGTCCACATGAACCACAGATGACAACTGATGTTGTCAAAAGACGTAGCAAGGCTTTAAATGAATAGTGGTATTTTTTATTACAATGTGTAAATATATTATTAAAATTTAAAAACTTTACGATTATAAATGCAGTTCTTTGAGAACAATATATATTTCAAAAAATTTTATTGATCCTTAGCTCTAACACTAATCGTTTTTGTTAAGATTAAGCTACTTAAAAAAATATTATATTTTATTATGTAAAAACAGATTAACAGTTTATTTTTAAATGGTACGCTAAGAAGACGGTTCACTCATGTTTATTTTGACATTTTTAAACCATTTCTTTAATAGTCTTTATATTAAATAATAATAATAATTCGAAGACTAGTCTACATGAATTTGTTTAATCTATAAGAACGAACACACAAACCTTTCAGCATAACTTTTATTATATTTTTTCGGAACAAAATACCACATTGAATTATCTCATATTGAACGTGTAAGTAAAATGTGGGAAAGGATTTAAAATACTCCAACCATTAGCTAAAATATGACCGGCGTCCCATCCTTGTTGCAAAAATATGTCCTTCTTTTAAAAAAGCACTCCGAAACTATTCCGCGAAATTAAAAAGTATGTCCCCAATGAAAGTTCAGCAGTAACTGTTTTGTTTTGGTCAAATAGATAAAGTAGCTATAATATGTTTTATGTATACCACCCAAAGTAATTTAAATGAGGAATCTCTTACAAAGAAATGGTGAAATACAAAAGGCTTATGTAAATCTTATCGCTTATTTTGAGCAATCTCTTCCAATTTATGTACTTTCAGTAAGTTGGATACTTAAGTTTAGGTAAAGCACATACAGAAAACCAAAGTAGGTTGCAATCATTATATTATAATTAAAACGATATTATATAAATGATACCGTATCATATAGCCAATGCTTACTATTATTTGACGACAAACAAGGTACCTTAGGATTAAGCATAGTAAGTTATCACATGATTTGAATGAAATAATTGTTTTTTATCTTGATTCTGAAAGGTACCAGGGAAGTAACACTTTGATAAGTACTAGAGTTGGACAGTTATGCATAATGTACGTTATAATATATATGATAGAAATGAACAGGAATTTTTAGGATAAGGTTATTTTGAGAACGTAAGGATCGTTCATGAGTCACACTAGACTTAAGACAACAAGGAATGGACATGAGGGGAACTCTGACCCACTGGAATGCGAAATTGAGACATATGATCATATTTGTAAAGACCAAATATGACACGGTTACAAAAGTTTCAACATAAAAATTAGGGGAGAGTCGGTTATATCGTACCACTTTTCACTTTAACTCAAATATTTCGACTATAACACGTCTTATAATAATTAATACATATGTAAAATAAAGTTTCATATTTTAGCTTCCTAAGAAGAAGAGAACAGATCCTTGAGATTATTCTAACATTGTTAAAAATGCTTTTTTGTAGAGGCTTGCCATCGGTACGATTTAGCCGACTAGTCGTTTTAATCGTACCACTAAGTCTTTAAATCGTACCATGGGTGTTTAAGTCGTACCACTGAATGAAAGACATTAAAATTCTCAATCAAATTATTTATTTTTAACTGTTAGGTAAGTAATAAAACAACATCATTTATATCTAATAGGTAATAGAAACATAATTTTTAACTCTTAGGTTATATAAAGGAACTATAGGCTTTCTCAGTAATATAACATGATTATACTATGATAATAAGATCAATCAATAGAACTAATAAAAATGAGACAAAAAAAAAACAGTAAACTATAATAATAAAGTAACAGTTAACAAGAATGTTATTTGTAATATAATTATTGTGCATATTTCTTAATGGAAACAATCATGACAAATGTCTGGATTCGAAGTACACGTCTCATGTAGCACCGTTTACAGCGAACGCATTGAATCCAATCAACTTTTGGACCCTTCTTATCGTAGTAAGAACAATTGCACTTTCGACATATATTTTCAAGATAATCATCGCTGTCATCATCATCATCTAGTTCTACAACAAGTGTCAATCCTGAATCATCACTACTGGTGATGGAATGAGATCGTTTCCTCTTATAACTTTTGTTTTTGGCCTTGCTTAGTACTTACTATACGTACTTGCGGTAGTACTATAGGTACTTGCGGTGGGTAGTCGGGTAATTTGTACCAGTACAATTTAACCAACTGCAAGTGGTACGATTAAACCAACTAACGCATTTCTAAAACAAAAGCAAATATCCGGCATAAACTCAAAACTTAGACACGCAACAAAAACCCCCAATAATCTAGTATACAATTGTGGAATAATAATAAAAAATGAATAACTATAGCTTACCTTGATTACGAGTTATCTCCTTACGATTGTACGACAATATTTATATTAATTCCTACAAAAATGTTTTTCTTTTATTACGTGCACAGTTGTTAACTCACGTCGATTTAAACTAGTGGGTGAAGAGGGATGGTACAGGGCCACAATTTGGCGTTGTCAGTGTAGAAAAAAATATTCATTAAATGGGAAATTTAGAAGTGGTACGATTTAAATACTAGTACGATATAACCAACTCTCCCGTAATAAGATGACTACTATATTTATATCTTCACATTAGTTGTAGCCATGTAAAAATTTATGTCAACCCTTTTTATTCGCAGCTCTTTATACTTTTTACTTCATTTTTTATTTGAGATATCATGACTGAGTCATAGCGAGTAGTTACGGAGTGGAGGTAATTTTTCCAGTGTTTACAGAGTTCATTTACATTCCCAGAGTTATTCTACCATTAAAATGTCCCCCTCAATCCCTTATCTAGTTTTAAATTGTGTCGATCTATTTCCTGGTTCAAGAAGCAGCTGAATTGTGTGTGTAATGGAGATTAGTTTTTCTTTTAGACTTGCTAGTTGTTTTAGATATACCTCTCAACACCCTTTCCACTTTGATAATACCTAATAGATGATAGATTCTAGAATTAGTATCGGTTTATGTATAAATTCATTAGAAATCCTTAAGCTAATATTCTGAGATTTAACTCAAGACGATCATGTTCTATTTGAGATTTAAGACTACAATACCTCGTCTGTGTTCTATTGTTAAGTAAACTGCTTTTAATCCTATTAAGATTATGTCTAGGGCTAACTCTTTTACGAATGTTGTAAAAATGAAGATCTCTTAGCTTATTTTAATTCTTCCAATCTCCTATCTGATTTATGATGTTCGACCCTGAAAAATAATCATTCCTTTATATGTTGATTTTTGTGTAAATTCCTTATTGAAATTTTGTGTGTAGAAATGTCAAAATAATCTAGATCTATCATAAATTCTTGCCAGTTTTTTTATGTTATGTATCGTTATTTTAAGACAATGTACGTTGCACATATCATCTTTCTTGTTTTCTCCATAACACGTACATTCATATGCGTATTTTTTTGCCACAAATTAGAAGCTGAATTAAAAGTTCTTATAAACTGAGGTATAAAGAAAATGTAGTGAGTGTGTACATACTCTTGCGCCTCCTAGTAAGCCCTCGGTGAAATCTGTATAGATACACAGATTTCTATGTAAATATACACCAATAAACAAGTGCTTTTTGGCTCAAAACCTCATTTTTTTTTGTCTCCGAAAACTATATTTGGTATTTTATTACATTGAGAATAGCATTTTTCATTTATATGAAAGTATAGGAACCACATCTAAAGATTTCTTCTCAACTTACATAAAACCACGAAGCTTATTGTTTTTTAAATAAGCCAAAAAATATTTACTTATATTATATACTTATATTAGATATTAAAGAAAATTATGATTCCAACCTACTAATATAAGAGAATTTTTTTATATATAAAGTTATTAATGAATTATTGATGTAAATGGCTTTATTTAAAAACCTTTCTGAAAAAACAATATACACATACAATAAATTTTAGTAATGATTGTAAATGAAAAGAAATAGGAATACACTCGACATAAAAACATCGGCGTTCATCGTTGATAGTTTTCAAAGTCAGACAAAAAAAAAATGATGAAAATCGTTCAACTTTTAATTAACAAAATCCGTCGGTCACATGTTTCCTGCCGATTCTATCTCACGTGTCCGGTCAAAGTTGAATGGGTTGGATTTCATAAACGATTTGAGTTATTTATAGACATGAAGCTATCCGAATTAACGCTTTAACGATAGAAAATATTGATGATGTTCACCATTAATACATATTTAGTAACAGATCTGTCAACTTGTTTATATGTATTAAACTATTTGATTAGGATAAAGGCAAATAAAATATTGACAAAATTGTGGCGAGTCAATTGAAGTCACATTTCAAGTAAAGTTATACTTTCTTGTCAGGTTCCCGAGTATTCATATTAGTGTTACATGAGTTTTCAAAGCTTTGGTCAATCGAATCAACAATAATAAACAGACCTGATTGGTTTTTACATCTACGTAATAATGTGCTCCATTACGTTTTTACAGATACGTAATAACATACTTAATGTAAAATTTAATACGTAAAGTCATTTCATAATTCATAATTTCTATCATAAATCATTAATTACTTGCATGCGTACATATGATTAGTTTGTTTCCTAACTCATAAGAACAGTTAAAGTCAAAAAGTTTTCTTCAAATGTCTCATTTATTTTAATAATATAAGCGCTTCCGTAACTGATTTATTGTTGTTCACTTTTATTACTGGTTAACAGTTTGTAGTATGAAATAAAAATAGTCTGATCTTATGTATAGTAAATCATTATTATTATAATATTTAACTGATAATTCTTAAAGTAATAATCAATTATTGAATAAGTAGTACATATTGCTATGCATTACATTCAAATAAGATAAACAAATTAGTTTGAATTGACAGAAGATGAAGCAAAATTATGCATATTGTACGTAAATGAATGAAATAATATTTAAGATAAAACTGTAACGAACAAAACAACTCACTTTTGATTTTATTTGAAGATATCAGAAATGTATTGTAAATTACAAAACTCTTACAAATTAAATAAAAAGTTTTTATACACAAGTTTTTGGTACTCTTCCTTCAAATCCCACAGGAGATTTCGAATTTTAAGGAAAGATCGTATTGGAAATTCTTACGATAAATCATACGTCTAGAAATTATGTTTTATAAACCAAGTTATAAACAAAGTTTCTCTTATAATTTAGCACGAAATATGTTGGTTAACGTAAATATATTTAGAAGTATTTTTGTAATCAATTGACAACAACATATTATAGTTAAGAACTTTTGCCTGTTAGCTCAATATTAAAAGAACACTTAAAAGTGTTGTATATGTATTTAAATAATAACAACTAACAAGTCAAACAGTTGTAATTGGAAGTCAAAACTTTTTCAATTTTTTCTTCTGTCGCTACCCGTCTAGGTCGACTAAGTTTGTCTCAATGTCGCGAAATACCAATTAGGAAATCTCGAAACAATCCATAATATTGACATCGGAGTTATATTTGATTCGTTTAAATTTATAATTTTTGTGTATTTTACAAATAAATGTTGTGTTTCTAATATGGATACAGTTTAAATTATTATTGCGGTTTAATTTTCTGTCAATAACTTCATTATAACGATAAATTGTATCGAAAAACAAATTTAACTCCTCCGATGAAAGCTGGAGTAAAATGGATTTTGGTTAGTTTGTTTAATCAGAGTTTTGACCAAAATATGTTAGGTTCTAGTTTTTCATTAATTTTATACCTTTAACAATGGTTTCATCCGATTTGTGTCATGTACTTCAGTTATTGAAATAGAAATGCTTGTGTTTCGTATGACAAAAAAGTGCTACTTAAAATTATTGAATAGACAATATTTATTTCTCAAAAATCAGTTTATTTACAACAAATTTAATTTTCAGCTTCTACATTTATGTATTTTAGGAATCTAACGTGAATCTTTCCATACAGATATTAGAACATGAACTATAAATGACAAATACATACAAATACTTAAAACAAAATACAGCGACGAGCACAAAATGTCAAGTACGATTTATAAATGTATGTATAGAGTTGTAACTCTATTTCACCGAACCGAATTTAATATTACCTCACAAGAAAACGTCTAGTCCTTTAAAATAAGAAAATGTATACTATTCAATTGTATTTTCTATCTTATTCATATTGTTTTAACATATATATTGCCTTAACATTGAAATTGAATTTACAGTCTAGAAAATACATCTTTTTAAACATATTTATTTTATTATAATAGTATAATCAGTATGTTTTCTACTTCAAATGATTGTCTTATCAGATTGTATGTTGTCGCCACCGCCTGCTGTGATTTACATAACATGTAAATATATAGAAAATCAACTATTCAAATTTAACGATGTTTGTCATATTATATTCAGAGGTCTAAAAAAAGCTTTTTGTTAGAACGTGTAACATACACGTGTATGTTATGTGAACACAATGGAATATAATAAAATCATTCATTTTAGCTTTCCATGATCATTTGATTTTGACAATAAGTAATGTGTTAAAATTTATTAATTTAAATGAAATTTCAATATGATTTTCCACTTCATTAAAACGTAAGTTTTTTCTATTATTGTCAGTCTATCAACGTTAAAGACTTTTTAAGTTATTTCATTTAAAATTTTATACAATATACACAATTTCAATTTTAAATCACTAATTAAATTGAGTTGTATAATTTTTATCATAATGTACACTAATGATATGTAGTAAAGAGTGAAAAAAGTTAGTTTAAATTAAATGTGAATGTTCACATCTTGTCTGTCCGTCATTACGGTTGCTGCATAGTAACCGAAACTTTGGGATTATTTCGTTAAAAATAAACACATACACATATGTACTACTAAAATAAATAGGCGTAGTAATCCCAAAAAAATATTAGTTTCATTTTATGAATTATCGCGAAGTCTTAGATCTCATTACTAAATTAGTTTTTAAAAACAGTGGCAAGGGAGAAAAATACATCTTTATGGTTACATAAATATAAGAAACAAGATAAAGTTATAATAAACTAACCGATAGATTACAAATAACAATAAAAACATTTGGTTACTCTTTTAATTTCTTATAATAGTATTAAAAAATAGTGATATTTATAGGAAAATGTATGTATATATACATATATATAGGTCAAGCAGTAATACTACATAAGTCGGGAGAGAATCCTTTAGAAGTTAATCCAGAGCCTCAAAGTTGATTAAATAGTTTACTTGATAAGTTAATTGAATTCACCTCACCCTACATCAAAGGATGTCTAACCTATCTTTTATTCTCTCTCTCTATTTTTATCTAAATGCATTGAAAAAAACATAATTATTTCCCAAGTTAATAGGTAAAAACTAATTAAGGATTCTTAATTCTTCGATCTTAAGTTTTACCAGACTAAAATTTAGAAGTGTCCAAATTTAAATAATTACAAAAAAAGTCTGCGGTTTAGTGTATAAATTATTTGTTGTATTTTAAACACTTCGAATTAAATTTCTTTATTTTATTGTAATAATAATTTTCATATGTATTTTAAATTTTAACCTTTTCTTTTTTATACTACTTTGTTTTAAAATTTTGCAGTAGTTTTTCTAACTGAAGCTTGTTTCTATTCCTTAGTTTCAAGAGACGATAAATTGATATAAACTGTAAATTGAAAATCTTCATTATTTTTTATAATTAAAACTCAGTATGACGATGAATAAATAGATTGAAAAGATAATGAGATCTTTTATATTTAAATTGTTTCACAAGTACTATAAATTATTAAAGTTTTATTAGTTTAGTACCTCAAGTCGGATCACGGATGTTGCATACATGATAAATCTTGTGGAACACACATTTAAACAGCTAAGTTTTAATTTATCTGTGTTTTTCTGTTGATATAATCAAGTTAGCTTTTGAATTCATATTTTATTGGGGACGATCAATATTACTATGTAATGGAAAATTACTACAGAAATTTTCGTAAATATTTTTTTATAAATTTACTTAATTTTTGATTTCTTACTAACTAACAAGAGATTAAAGAAAAAATCAACAATTAACCATCTTAGATTTAGATGCTTTACATGCCTTTTAAGCCCATATATATTGTGGGTATATTAAATATACCATAAAAAAGTTTTGGCCGTGAAACTAAATTATTGATGAAAATCGATAACTAAAAGTACTTAGTTTTCAGCACAGGTGGTTAATGATTGTTTATTAAATGCATAATGTTGTGTCAGTCAATGTACTGCATCACATTAATTAAATAATTTGTAATACAGTTTATATTAAATATGAAAATACGAATGAGATAACTTTATATTATTATAGTCTGGATTTAATAGAATGTTTAGTAAAATGGGTTGTTTAGATAAAAATAATAACGAAAAGCAGCTGTTACGTAATAATTTTATTCCGGTTAAACTTACAACAATAGCAAAACTATTAATGAAATTTCAAAATGACATTAAAATTACAAGACAAAAGTTAGAAATTTATATTAAAAGTACAATAATTTTAATACGTAGATAGACATCGATATAGATTTGACTAGATCACTCTGAATCTGTCGAGTGAATGCTGTTTTATTTACAATACAATAGAAGTGTTTCAAGTCATTTCATTGTCGGTTTACTTCCTGAAGCAGGAGATTGGGTTGAAGTAGCATTGTCGGAAGCGAACTTGTCTTTTGTCGGCGCGCCACTGTCGAGCCAGCCTGCCGTCTATAGCCCGAAGTCCCCAGCCACGAGGCTCGGCTTGGGGCCACGAGCGACCCACACGACCCATGTTCAGTCTTCAAATAATAATTAATTACAAATAAAATAAACATTAAATTATATCTTTGATTATCTTTAGGACATCCTTGATGCTGATTTTAATGGAGATCTTATGAAATTTTGCATAAAGAATGTCTTTAAAATACACGAATATATGTAAAGAAAATATATAAATATGTTGCTTAATCAAAAAGTTTTCTTGACAAATAAGCTGTATGACATAAAAATATCTTAAAAATAGCTCAGCTTTAAGTATGTTCTAACCCCTAAGGTTCATTTAAACCAAGAGAAATTAGGCCTCAAATTTTGTATTACCTTGGTTAATTTACCTTAAATTAATGGGCCAAAAATTTGGATTATAATTAAATTAAGAATAATTTGATTAGTATGCAACGTGGGCAACTATTTGAATATTTTGTTCATCACAACTAGATCAAAAGGTTTTGTTAATGAAAGATGATTACAGTCTTAAATTTGATTGTATGAATTCGTTTCTTAGGAAATTAATTTCTTTTGGAATGTTTCAACTAAATTTCAAATCGACGGCTCCATTGTAATATATGTTATTATTTCGATAGTTATATCGGTTTTTTATATAACTTTTTGTAAATATTATAAAAAATTTAACCTCATAATTCTATTTTTTTCTTACGTAATGTTTGTATTTTTTAATATTATATACGGTCAAGGTTTGGACGTGTGTACCAATTTGTATGTTAGTGCGTTTAAGTACTTTTTACTAATCACACAAAATCAACTTCTTCTCTATTACTATTTCTCTGAAATAAGATGTTATTATCCTCATACATTCAAAACATTTGCAACTGTATATTTAATCTTTTAAGAAACATTGAACCAATAATTTTAGTGCATGCCGTGTGCGTATGTGTGCGTGTGTTGGTAGTGTGTGTAAATTTGTTTGTGTGAATGTGTGAATCACCTATCATCAGCATCAAGTTGAAGCAGCAATTTGCGGAGTGCAGCAGTATTAAGAGCATCCCAGGGCACTGACATGTCGGAGTCATCATCGGCGCGAGGCACCAGAGCATTCTCCACTTGTTCCTCTTCTTGCTAAATAAACATACAAATGCCGATGAATTCGCAATCGTTCTTAGCTATTTAAGAAGCACAAATATAGAACTCAAACTATTCACTAATTCCGATTTATAATGAAAAGATTTAAAAACTTCTGTATTTATTTTAATTTTATAATGATTCATTAAAGAAGAGATCTTACCATCGGCACGGATGCTGCGATTGTAAACAGCAAAGCCATTGCACTCACGAAGATGAATAATTTGTTGTTATGTAGCGTGGTGTTCATTTTCGAGCCGGAAATTCCTACAGAATAGTTAATAATATAGTTTCAATAAAGGCATTACAAAATACAATAACTTTTTTGAACTGTTTAACTTACTTATGTTTAATAATCTTGATCTTTTTTAAAAATACATACGTTAGAATTTAATTTTAAACATAAACGTGAACTCAAATATCAGAAGAGAAAAAGTCTAAAGAATTGTGTCAAAATCCTCGAAGATATCAAAGAAATGTCTATAACAGATGTAGCATTGGAATTAAAACCTTTACAAGCAATAAAGCTTGTACGAGCAGCTCTAATGCCCATTGTAATTTGTATTAAGCTACGTTCAGAAAGCTTCAGGGTGGCTTAGTAACTGTGCCGTATATGCATAACTCTTCGATGTTGGTTTGAAACGAAAGAATAGAAAAATCTCCTTTAAAATAAAAAATATAATTCACCAAAGTGTGATAGGTTGGTATATTTCTTGATTTGATAAACTATCCAATACAATTATCTTTGATTGAAAACAGCACCTCATACAAAAGTGACTTTGTTTTCGGAAACAATTTTTTATTATTCATAATTTCAAAATCCAAAACAGAACAAAACCAGTGCAAACTTTACATGTGTTGTCAACCATCTTGAATATTCCGCGATTTTGTTTTATCATGACGTCACACGACATATCATACATGGTCTTTCTCAATTTTAGAAAATCGTTAAAAACAAATTACATTTAGCAATTATTATTTTCGCTAAAATAGTTATTCATTTGTTAATAATGACTCTGTAAAAGTTGTTTTAGCATTATTTGATTGACTTACCATTAGCATTACTTAATTCCCTACATTACAAATAAATTTATTCGGTTTTCTATTGCGTCTCTCCATTTAACAGTTTTGTGGACTGCGTGAGTGAAAGATATAATTTGTAACATTACACGAGCCTTTGTATTTCGTTGCATCTATTATTAGCTGGCATCAAACGTATCGAAAAAGCTAATTCTAACTAATTTTAACAATAGAATGTATAAATAGTTACTGTTTAAATGAAATTTAACATAAAATATACAATTACTATTATAGAATAAACCTGTATTATGTACTAATAGGAAAAAATAACTAAGGCATTACTTAAGGATTCTTCAACTATTTGCGTTTCTTTTACCTTATACGTACTTGATAAAAAGATAACCAGTTTAATTTAAAAATAGGGTTTAACATACAGGTAAAAACAGTATATCTAAAGAAAGAGGTGACGTAATTAGAAATATCTGCCTATAAAAGGAACAATCGAAAGTACGAACTTAAAAACTTACATTGTACGTACCCATGACACAATGTATGTTCAATTAATAGTTAGCGAAAGTTTTAAAACGATTTAATTATAAAGTTTAAAAGCACTACAATGTAACAAAACATTTTGTTAGTTCCATTAAATAGTAATTTACTATAACAGAATATTATCTTTAATATATAAATCACGTAATATTTGCAAGGTTCAGAAAAGGCCATAATATTTTTCCGTCTTAATATCCCAACTCCCGATGGGTCCCATATCACAGAACACGGCGAGCTGCGTCTCCTTGACAGATAATTGGATACATGGGATGCTATTTATCAATGATGCTGTTATATTTCAACTTGACACATATATGAATATATTGCTATGAACGTAATATACTTCTATCAAACGGTATCATTATCGTCTTTGAGTTCTTCGATGAGGCCAACTTAGATTAATAATTCAAACAATATTAAGTCGTTTCTATGAAATATTTTTTCTATGATAAAGTCCCGTGCTTAAAATAGCTCATAACAAAGTCGAGTCAACAGATCGTAGAGCTTGCTACGTCGTAGCACGTAGCTACAAGTCTACGATCCTTAATAATTCTATCGTTGCTACGATATTACTTTTATTACGGCTTTTAACAATAGCAAGGAGATACTGATTTCAGTAATAAGAAAGTATTGAATCAGAGAAAGCTGAGATTAAAGTTCAAGTTTTTATTTAAATATGTTTAAAGTTGCAATTGAATAAAACTGTAACTGTAACTGTATATTAAATTTATATTGAAATATTCTATATAAAGTAATCTTCATTAATCCAATATTTTACACACATACGTATATATACATATATTTATACTATGTCTTTGCGTATATAACTGTATATAATAGTGGCAAATATAAAACCTAATAGTGTCTAGAGCCAAAAATATTTTGAAAACTCATTGTAAACTATAAATAATCGTAGAAATCTTAGACGCTTGAAATTTCAGTGTATTTTAAGTGTGAGATTCTAATACGCTTTCACCGATGGAAGTATAAGGAAAATATAAAATAAGTTTAATAAAAGTCAGTGGTGGCCTAGTGGTTAAAAGGCCCGCCTGTCATGCATGAGGGCGCGGGTTCGATCCTGGTCCGGGCAAGTACCAATGTGATTTTTCCGAGTCATATGTACTTTCTAAAAGTATTTAGACATCACTGATTTGATGCATTCCCAAAGAGGGTTGATGTCAGGCAGGCGGCCGGTCGTAAAAACAATTAGCCAAAACTATTCACAACATGTAAGGGCAGACCCTGGCTAAAGCTGAGAAATTGCCAGGTAGAAGAAGAAGAAGATAAAATAAGTTTAATGAAAAATCATCGATATTAAATACAATAAACCATATAATAGCATGGATTGATACAATATTTTAAATCATTGTCAATACACAAACAGATTGTATATTTAAAGTTAAGAACTTAATGCAAAATCGATTAAAGATTTCTTAAGGCGGCATTAATATTCAAAAGCTTTACGACCGGGTAGGGTAATGAGATTCAGCGAATGTAAAAATGCATATAACCAAACAGTATACAACAAACGAGGTTTTTGTTGGAGATTTCTTATAGATTGGATATTGAAAGTATCGAGGATAGAATCTTAACGAGGTTATCTTTGAATAAAACATCCCTTAATACATTTTTATTCATTCACTCCTACGTGATGTATAACGTTTAAAATTAGTTTTTAAACTTAAATTGCAAGCAAACTTTAATAACTCTTCGTATTTTAAACAAAAAAAAAACATTTGATTATATTTCTATAGTACATAGATAAACTTAAAATTAAAAATTGCTTTACAATTTCGATACGAGTGATGTTTTTAATGTAAAAGAAAAGTTGTTTCTTAAACTATGAAAGGTGATCATTCCGCAACTGAACGTATGAAACATAAGAAAAGTTTGTAAGATATAAGTAAGATGATCCTAAAAGAAACAGTTGAGCTATTCCGAAAACGCGTGGTCATTACCACGAAAGGTAACGGTTAGTGTTTTATTACACGGGGAAACCATTACAGAACACAAAAAGATAGACGAAAATGGTTTTTATATTGGCATAACATTACAAAGGAGGTTACATATCAAGTGTATGTTTATAAGCGACATTAGTTCTGATAAACCGAATGTGTTTAAAGATTCACTTTATATATTTTTATTATCAATAAATTTTTTTTTTCTATTTAGTATGAGCCAAATCTAGTGACACGAATATACATTCAAACTTTGACTATTGTTCAGTATTGACTATTGTTGAGTTTTACACACCCAGAATCTTTAAATTGAGCCTAAACTTAGTATCAAACTTGACCATATAGTAATACTATCGTTATTTTTATCTTTTTTTGTTGTTTTGTGTATAAATAATATGGTAATGTTTAGAGATCGAAGTAAAAACCTTCGAGACTCAGTGTGATACGGACGTTAATCTAATACATAATGTAAAAAGTCACGAATAAAAACACAATCGAATACTTTAGTTTCTATTGATCTATATAAATATACTAGCTGACCCGGCAGACATTGTTTTGCCATATAAAAAAAATGGTTGGTGATAAATAAGTAAAAATTTAGGGTAGTATCTATTTTTTCATGCAACATTATAAAAAAATAAAAACAAAAATTTCGTCCATCAATTTAAAAAAAATTAAGGGTGAACAACCCATATCACTTAGGGGTATGAAAAATAGATAATAGCCGATTTTCAGAGATACTGAATAAGGATTTAAAATTTTGTAAAAATCGGTAAAGCCGTTTTGGAGGAGTAAGGTAACATTGTGATTTGAATATATTATATCTTCTATATATATAAATGAATCCCTTTTTCACTAATTCTTTTTTTATTGTATATGTTATTATAAGAAGAAGGTTCTCATAAAAGAAAAAACTACGAAAATTACTAGAAAACAAATACTACATTTCACTTTTTTAATAAAATAATGTGTCGCTGGCAGTAATATTCACGTATTTGCAATTAAAAAAAAAATAAAACAACTTGCAATTTACTTGCTCTTTGCAAATATATCGGTCGGAGTTGATCTGTGGCAGGAGTTATAATAACATAATACCTATATAATTTATTCACCATTTCTTAGTGTACTTTACACATTGGTTGCTACAAGATAATTTGTAGTATGAGTAACATATATTTCTTGATTATAAGGCGGTACGAAGTTCGCCGGGCAGCTAGTATTAGATAAATATAAATTACTGAAATAGGTATTCTAATTAATTAACAATTTTATATAGGTGAAAAAAATAAAGATGGAAGTTGACTAGAAAATAATAATTCACAGTTCCTATCTAAATATATATACATGTGTACAAATATACCTTTTCCAGATAATCTCTGTGTGGGTATAAGTTTATAGTTCGGTTTTCAACTGAAGTCTTTTGAACAATAAACTAAGTTTATATAAAATTCTTTTGACGAAGAAAAAGATGCGTTTTCAAAGAAATATATAGATATGTAAATTAAAAGAATGCTTCTATTAAGATTTATTTTCTTGATATTTTTACGTTATTTCTGTTTTAATTCAGTTAACAATTAGAATAATATTTTGTACATTGCCGGAATTGCATTTAATGAATTTGTATATTAATACTTCAAGACAAATTTCTGACTAATATTATATTGTAATATAGTATTCATTGTAATAATTGCTAAATGATAATTTAAACATTTATGCACTTATC